GATAAAAAAGTCAGTCAAACATGTCCATACTATTAGAATACTTTTCAGGTCCAATGTACCGAGAAATCTATGAATATGTGTGGTAGGTGCGCAGAATTACCAACGTTGAGAGCCCAACTAACAATTATCACTCCTGTTAGGATTTCAAGAAAGCTTATGCAGTATTCTTTACACACCATTGTAGGTTGCAAAAGGATTGGCAAAGCGTTCTTAGAATAGCTATACAAGCGGAGTGGGCGCACCTAATAGGAAGCTTCAGTCACATAAGATGGTATATAAGAGGTGGAGGTTAACAGTTATACAACAAAACTGTAAACACCCGTGCATCCGCCAAAGAACCTTTGCGTCAGTGCAAGATTCAACTTTGGTCATCTATTTAACCATTCTGTTATCTAACTCTACTTTATTGTAACTTAACTATTTTTAAGTATCGTGTAGGCGAAGTGAAGGATATTTTCAAACTAATACATTACATTCATCTTGTTTACTGTCATCTCGGCCATTGTGAATTTCATACACAAGTAGCTATATAGATATAGCTATATGATATAGGGCTATTGAATGACCTGCGTATCAAACTTCATTGTGACTATCGTATAAAGTAGTGACGTAATTTCTACGGGCTTCGTATTAGGTTCTTATTTGAATATTGATCAAAAATATGTCTAGATTTTTACGATGAAAATCTGAACTTATCTCCTTTAAATCTTCCCCAAATCCTATATTTAGACACAATTACACTAATGTTTATCATTTTCTATCTGTAATGTTGGAGTGAAACAGAACTATTTGATGTTCAATAAAGGACTATATTTTTCGCAATTTCGCGGGTGGTTATTCTAATCATGGCATCCTCCAGATTGTATTTGGTTTATTAGAACAATTGGTGTTATCTGCAGGTGTAACACAGCAATTTCGCAAATCTCTTAAATCAAATACGTGCAGAGTCGACTGCTTTACTTAGAATTTGTACCAGATCTACACTGTTTGAAAAGTTGATAAAATCTCCATAACGAATATTGGTTATGGCATTTAGCCTAAAAAGTTGACAGCAGAAGCTTAGGTTATGGTGAAGTTGCATATCTATACAGTAAGCAACCAATCTATGCCGACCACATCAGTTTTGTTCCATAAAAGTTGTGGCATTCTTGCAGCTGTTGCCTTCAACAGTTACTGAACGACAGTTGAATTAATTCTTCCATTGGAGCAAATTGTTGGCTAAGTAATATATAATATAATAGTAAGTAATTTTGCACGCAAAACAACAAGGCTTGGATTTGTTGTATAAATGTTACCATGGATATCCCAACACAACCATTTTCCCTACCGAGCTAATATGCCGTATAGAATAGTTATCTAAACGATTGTACATACAGCAGCTCTAAATTTATCCGATAATGTTTTGAATGCTGCAAGAATGTTTTATACGTCTCATTTTAGAGCAAATATTCTACAGGAAGCCAGTTTGAATTTCAGACAACATTAAGCCAGCATTTTGGTTTTCGTGCAACAACAAAACAGAGCCTTTACGGCTTAACAATTCTTTCACCAAATACTTATAGCACCACTTTGCTTGATTGGAACGAAAAACGAAGTTTGAGCGATTCTTACATTTTTGATTTGAGCATTTTTCTCTGCCGCCACTGGACCAATTTTCATTTTCATTTGCGTCCTTGGCATAGTAGTAATATTGTATAAAATTTCATCGGAATCTGAGCGGTACTTCTCAAGTTATAGGCGGTTATAAGATTAATGGACAGATCGACAGAGAGACAAACGACCGACGGAAATGAGTGACATGGTTTTCCGTGATGTATGTCATATAACATCTAAAAAACGCATCTTTGAAAATTATCGCGATTACAAATGTGATTCAAAATCCACGGACTTATTGACGCGCCCTCGTATATGTATTTATTTTATCAAATGCCCTCTGTGGTGCTGACTGAATTTAAATGGAAATCTGAAAATCATTTGTTCTATTGTGTTCAGCAGATATATCGGCTGCGTTTTGTCATTAAAGGTTTTTAACAAAAAAGTCACGTAAAGCTCGAAATATGACTTTTCGCAAGTAATTTAATTTATTACAGTTAGCAGCGTACTAACCGAAATTTTCCATTTTTAGCATGGCCGCCTTTCCTTCACGGGCTTAGCGTCATTATTTTAAGTCATTCCTTTATTTCTGTGGATAATACCACTTTATAAATTACCCTTTATACCATAAAAAATCGTGTCTCCAACCCTATACGGAAATCCCGCAGACATGGGGCAGTGGCGGCCTTACAATTTCAGTCATCTAAAATATTCGAATTATCAAGGGCGAACGCGTTAGAGAGTTTTAAATGCTCTTGTTTCGCTGCTACGTTGTGACCTTCCTTATTTCGATTTTGTACAGTAGCGGGACGATCCTCCGTTATCCGCTATAGAAATAAGACAGCTCCGTAGGGGTACTGACCAAAATCGCTCAAATATGATCATGGAGATGGAAACCTTGCCTTGAAATGTACAAGATGCGGTGTCAACAAACGAACCAATAATGCAAACAACGCATATTTTCAACATGCATCTCAATTTAAGGAATTGGTGTAACATATTAGTAGCGCGGCAACTTGCCGCGTCAGTGTTGCTACTCAACGCAGTCATTATCCAGCCAGGCTGTCTCTTCACATATGTGTCTATACACACTTCTCTCTCGAACAAATTGGAATAGATTCGTCAAGCAAATTTGGTTTTCATTGTATATTTTCCACGAAAACCTAATTTGTCTAAAATCTTCAACAGTACATTGTCATAAATTGTATATTCTCGTTTCCTCCCTTATTGTGATTACGCCCTACTTGTCCTGACAGTCTTGACACATAAAAATGACAGCAGGGTTGTCAAATGTCTTCCCAAAAGAAAGATGACCTAGTTCGATCTGTAGCCACCTTATTGCTTTTCATTGTCATTAACAGAATGTATCTAGTTTTTGAAAAAAATAAATAGTATAGACTGATGGTACTAAGTACTGCCTCTTGGAGTTTTTTATCACGACTTCATCTTACTCATATCTAGCTGTAAATATAATTTCATTTAAATAAAATCATTGTGACTGCATTGTTACTACATTTTCCTTGTCACTGAGTATATGCGCCTCTATGATGTATTATTCTACTATTTTTGTAGAAGCTGTTAATCAAAACACGTGCTATGAGCCTAGTGATTTCAACCCTGATTTTTCGGCTAGCTGCCACTGTTCTCTCATATTTATGTAAATTCCGCGGAACTTAATAGAGTAAAATGACCTGCAGAGTCAACGGCTATAACTCATCCGCTGTGATTCGCTGCGATATAAATACTGCTCTTAGGGCATTTGTTACAAATTTTGACTGTCGATTAAGCATTTATATTTCTATATCCCCATAAAGACCTAATTTATGGATGAGGAGTATTGAACGTTGAATACGTTACAGTTTGGGAGCTTACAACAATTTGAATTTTAGTCACTTTTGATAGAATTGAGAAAGTTGGCTTTTAATTTTTACGTCATTAGTTAGCGGGTTCCAAAATAGCCAAGAAATTTTAATGTCAAACCCAAGACTTCTCACCAAAATAACTTTCATTTTGTCTTATTTTACCCCTCCTTTTATAGAGCTACTATATTCTTCATCGGAACAATTTATTAAAAAAGATGACATACGATCATTTTGAACCAAAATTTTAATACAGAAACTTTATAACTAAACATTTTAATTCAGAAATTTTATAAAATACTTTAAAAAATAGACTAAATACATTAATTTTTATTCAAAATCATCTTCTTCAAAGTCGCTGCTACTAGAAACATTAGAGTTCGGATTTTTACAATTCTTCGTCAGAGTTCTTTCCTTTGATTTTAGAGAAAAAAAGAAATTATGGTACATACGAGGTATTGACGACCTGTCTCCTCTGCAAAGCTGTAGCAAACCTTGTAATTTCTTACTGTCAATAGAGAGAGGAGAAGTGTATAGTTGAGTCAATTGAATACTATAAGTTTGAAGTTGACTGCGCCTAATTTTTTTTTAGCCTTAAAATTCTTGCTGATTCTGCAAATTCATATTTAAACTGGACAGTATTTGGTTCTTCTGATAACCACGACAGTTCCCGGATTTTACTAATTTTTATTTGATCACGATTTTCGTCCTCCTTCCAGTTATGATTTTTAACCATATTAGAAAATTTTAAGAAGTCAGCTTGGGACATTTCTTTTACTATGTAGGGTTTTCCAGTTGCCTTAGCCATTTTTATTAATGTTATCCATTGACTTGGGGTGTAGGCAGCACCCTGTCGCTTTTTAGCTGTCTCGATCACTGTATGCATGCTATCTCCTTCGTGCTCTGTGTGCCCCATTTTCATGTTGAGAATGTTAGAAGCATATGCGAACATGGAGAAAATAAACCGGTTCCTATCTTGGCCCTCACAATTGTCGGAATATAAGATAACACTTTTTACCCCTTTAGCTTTTTGTGTTTTCAGAAAGTCCAATAGGCAACTGCTGATTTCATTTGGCCCTCGTTTTGCCACCTCTTCATACCAGACATAACAGAACCCTTCATCGTTACCTATGTCATAGATTCTAAAATTATAAGGTGCAATTTTACTTTTATAATAAAATGTGCTTACTTCTGATTGAGGGGTAACCAACACCTTTTGCAAGTCAAAACACGCAACACATAAAGATTTATCATTAGTAGCCAGCTCTTTATCTACATCTTACAAGTTCCTGACTGCAACTTTATTGGCTGATCATACTGTTCTTGCATATTCAATTTTATATCATTATCAGCATCTTTGTAAGCCGTGCGTAGTTGACACTGATATTTCTTTGGTTTGAAGAATGCAATATTGAATTCTGAGTTCAAAATTTCCCGATACTGTCGTACACTTGCAAACTGAGCTCCATTGGTTCCAATATGCTCTTTGTACATTCTGTACATTTTCGTAATATTTAAACCTTCCTCTAAATACATTTTGCTTGAATGTTATCTAATGTAATGAGAAGGAACTATTGGAAACAATTTAATATGAGCTCTCACTCTATCCCTAAGATCTTCTGCAATTTTGTTGGGTTTATGGCGTCCCCGCATATCTTTTTCTAAAGTACCACCTTTTACAACTTTTTTCAAAGCAGTTGTAACCCAGGTCTCTGGTATACCCAATGTGTTTAAAAACATCATTTTACAAATTTTTATCCTTTGATTATCTATCCAAAAATTATATTCTCGAGAAAAATTGCATCTTGACTCAGTTTTGTTAATTATCTGCTTTTTTTCTACTTGGTGCACACATTTTGAGACTAAATCCCATTGCCTTGTATGATCTCCCAGTACCCAAAAATTTTCAAATATTTTTTGCCTCTTATTTTCCAGAATTTTTTCCTTGCACCTATTTCTACAATTTTTCTTGCATGGAGGTTTCATCATTCTACATGAAATTACTTAACCTACTCGATTTCCATGTTTATTTCTCAGATTAACTTCCTTTTTAGCTTTATTATCCTTCCACTCATTTTATTTTCTTAAGCGTGTTTTACATTCCTTGTTCTTTATTGCCATTTTTCGCTTTAGCTTTGGTTTATTATTATTTACATGTTGTGCGTCATCCGCTAATTCAGCATTGTCATCAGTATAAAAATAAAAATAATTTTTATTACCAGATTTTTTAGGAAGCACATAGACTGGATCAGTATCATCTTCAATCATTTTTGAATTATTATCTTTTGCTTCACTACTTGAAAATACTTTTTGTTCGAAAGGTAAAGACGGTTCTGTAAAAAAATAAAAACAAGGATTATCAATCAATATATAATTTCTGAAATGTATTTCTTAGTATTTCTGAAAAATAAAATAACATAATCCTTGAGAATGCAGACATAGAAAATATTAACGATTCCTATGGTGGCATAAGGAAATTCAAACATACTACGTCAATCAGAAGTGATAATAATATTATTATCATTTTTGTACTTACCAGGATCTGGTTGCTCTTAAATGTTTTTGGATAACTCCAATATACGTTTTATTCTATTCGTATTTTAGACTTGCAACACTCTTAACCTTCACTCAAAATTCAAACTACAATTTATAACCTCAAAAAGTTATTTACGAAAATGCGAGAGAATCCATAGTAACTTGAAGAAGGTACAGCACTATCTAGACATTTCGCAACGAAAACTGTAGTAACTCAATATACGATAAATATTGCTCGAAGATCCGAGGATTATCAAGTAAAGAATATCGCAAACCAACATACAACAGCTTTCATTAAAAGTATCGTAAGTTGCTTGACATACGATAAAATTAAAATGTGGTTTTTGGGTTGCCTACATAGCCGCATGAGTTACGACAGTATTCTGTAGTAAAGCTACATATCGAATGATTAAGAACAAAGTAGTAACTCTTATTATCCAAAAATTGAGTTACTACAGTCTTCGTTGCATGAGTCGACTTATAAAGGTTACTAAAAAAAGCAGATTTTGTATATTTTTTCCAGTTTGCTAACAAAAGTACTTTCCATTGTTGTTGGGACACACTGCATATTTAAGCACTTCCCACCCATACAAAATAGATACATTCTCAAAGGATATCTGTCTAGCTTCGCATTTGGGAAAGACCCAATCTCAGAATAATTCAGGAACTATAGACATATAAATCCTGAAGATATCTATGTGCGTTGCTGTATACTCATAATACAAAGCAGCGCAGCAAGATATAGATTACCTGAATACCAACAAACGGTAATGACACTCCATTATTGGCATTTCGAATGGTAATTTACGTGAGTAAATTCAGCACTTTGTTGCGGATATGAATGTTAAGAGGGGCGTTGGGATATATGTGTATACCAGATGTTTCAAATTCGACCCTTACTATTGGTGTCGGATACGATATAAGTTGCAAATTTGGGTAACTAACAAAATGACATTCCTTTATACAGAAGCAGCCGCTTAAGCAGAAGCCTAAATACCGAGGCAGTGCGGCTGCCATAAGGAGCTTAAAGATACTTTGTTAATTCGACTTTTGAACCGACTAAGGTTAACAGAACTGGAAAAAGTCTCCTTTGAGACAATCTCAACACTTTGGGATGTAGAGATTTAGTTGTTGCCTTTATCGCTCTCCCTCAAACCATAACTGAGATGACCTACTTGAATACCTCGCTGCCAAGATCGACTTCCTGAACATCAATCACCTGCTTAAGAGGTAGTTCTGCTTGGTGATTTCAATGTCCGTAATGGGCTTTGGTTGGGCTCAAACACGGCCGATGTAGCAGGCCGTTTGCTATCACCCAAGGGCTGACCCAGCTAGTGACGAGGCCCACTTTTTCCACCGCGTTTTGACACACGCGAGTAGCCTGCTGACCACGCATCCTTCCCCTTACAGCACAGCAGTCCAGTCTCACCTGGGTAACTCAGACCACAGTGTTGTGAAGGTTAGGCTTCGGTAATAACTCGCTTTGGCAGCAGAAACTTGACCAGGCCGAAAAATTTGGCATTACGGACGTAGCGACTGGGAGGGGCTTCAATTCTCTCCACCTTTGGAGAAATGTTTGTTTCGCTGACCCGGATATGTCGGCTGTCTGTTCATCGATAACCGAAATTATCCACGTCGGGATGGAGGAATACATCGCTCATACAGTGAAAGTGGTTAAACCAGGGTCCAACGGCTGGTTCAACAAATCGTGCAACATTGCTCTTCAGCAGAAGATCAAGGCACCCAGAACTTTCTTACAAATCCCGTCTGTAGAGAACAGACCCCGACGTCGAGTTCAGAAACAAATATAACAAGGCGGTCCGCAATGCCAAATACTAGCACCATATGAAGGATAGGCACAGGGTAATGTCGTAGCGCAATGGCGTCGGTCTTTCTTTACGCTGGCCAAGCATATTGAAAGGAACTTCCCACAGAGTAGCCTTCCACCACTTATGTGTCAGGATGGAACGATTGCAATCGACTCCAAGGCTAAGGCGGAAGTACTTGCCAAGGTATTCGCTGCCAACTCCACCATGGACGTCCCCAACGTTCGAGTGTCGTCGATTCAAAGGGTCCTCTAAACCCTAGACTATACAGGCAGTAACATTCAGGCATAAGACAGAAAAACGGGTGCACTTGTTACTCGACAAAGCTTCTGGTCCGGTCTAGATTCCTGTCGTTGTATTGAAGAGGTGTACAGCGGAACTTGCTCCAGTTCCTTCACATCCCTTCCAGATATCTTACGGATCCGGTACCTTCCCAGAAAACAGGAAACTTGACCACGCCTAACTCATCCCAAAAAAATTATCTACAACCGAAACTACAGGTCTATAACAGCTCTGCTTTCAGATACAAGTAAGGTGCAAAAATCGGGAGCTTTTGGAGTACCTCGAACGCCACTGCTTGATTAGCGATAGGCAGTATAGTTTTTGTCACCAGCGATCCGCAGGGGACCTCCTAGCTTACGTCACGCAACTGTGGAAAACTCGTCAAGTCTTATGATGAGTGTCATGCCGTTGCTCTCGATATCACGAAAGCTTTCGATCAGCTGTGGCATGCTGCCTTCCTATGCAAACTTCTACCCTATGGCCTTCCAGACAAGCTTTGCAGATGGATGGCTGACTTCCTCTCTCGACGCCAGATATCCGTTATTGACCGGTTCTCCTCTTCATCCCACAATGTCAAAGCAGGGATCGGTCTTGATTCCGTCATAGTTCCTTCTACATATCAATGACCTCCTTTACATTACGATCAATCCGATCCACAGCTTTTCTAATGAGATCACTCTACATGCAGTAATTCACATGTCGATCTCTGCCGATGAGCTGGATAAAAGAAGGCTAGCAGCGACGTTCTTTCTGACGAGAGACCTGTAGGTTATGACTACCTGGGGACGCCGCAATCTGGTACAGTTGAATCCAAAACACATTACTGTACCTTGGCAGACAAGAAGCGCCCTCGCGCTCATCCGGTTTCGATAGATGGTCGAGCGGTTCATTTCGGCTGGCCGGAGTCCAGATCATCAAAAACATGATCTGGTACGAATACAACTCGTCAATAGCGGCAGCTGCCAACGAAAAAACTAGCTAGGGCTAAGAAGTACTTTTGGCCACATGACCTCCTCAGTTTGTACAAGGCCTAAATAAGACGTAGCCTCGAATACTGCTCACATGTTTGGAGTACTGCCGCCCGACTACTCCATATTGTTCAGTGGAGGGCTGTCCGACTTATCGATGACTCTTCCCTAACTAACGGTTTTCGACCCTTTCGCACAGACGACTTTTTTCTACAGCTACGTCAACGGGCTTGGCTCAGAAAACCAATCGCAAAATCAAGCGTGTCATAATAAGCTAAAGCAAGCTTAAAACGCCATTTGCCATCTGACATGGCGATCTTAAGAGATAACAAGAACAATCAATTTAGCATTACATAGAGATCACTCACTGGAGTTATACTCTTCATGTCCTTTCTTAGTTCGAATTATTGTTCATACGGGCAGACTACGGCTACTAGGGGTTATATAAAACAGTTATACTCACCCTATATGCATAAAAATGGTTGAGAATAGACGATATGTATATATATACATATTCAGTTGCTACATAAAATAGTAACTTCGCAGTCTCCCCCTTACTTACATAGGAAATTATTATTTCGCGGAAGAAATGATGACATCAATTTCACATTCAAACTACTTGAAATTCCATTATAAAATCGCTTTCTATAGCTAACCTTAAGAGGAGTGTGAAAAATAGGTTACTTGGTTGGCAATGTTGCCTCGGATAACGGTGGAAATTTTTGGTTTTACCTTGATCTTTTCTTTCTTTTTTGATTTAGTATGTTTCATTGTGTTAATTGTTGCGTTGTTAATTAAAGCGATGTATAGTTTTTGTAATCTCAAATCGCTCTAATATTTTACTTTTTGAGCCTACTTTTTTACTCATTTTATTATTGTAAATCATTTTCTGAAAGGTTGAGTACAGTAGATGTTTTCTAGACTCCGTCTTTTAAGGAGCATTATATGAATGTAATGTATTCCTTAATAAAGACCCATTATTTATATACAGGGTGACTTCGAAGTTGAGTCATTTATTTTAACAGTGAGTAGATCTGATCAAAAGAAATGTTTTTTTCCTTTATCATTTTTCTGGTAAAATTAAAGTAACAAAGTTATAGCCCTTTGGAAGTTTGAGTACCGCCCTGTCTCAATAATAATATCATGTGCTCGTGTTTGGCAACAACGGATATAATCTGCCTTATCGGTTCATCGCATCGGAAACAAAAAAGCGAAAGAATTTGGAACGATGTTTTTACAATTATTTTATTCAGTTGTATACATACAGTCAGTGTCAGTCGGTAACGCGTGTGAATAGTGGTGTCTGTTGCGTGGCTCAAACGAAATATCAATCAGGTGACTTAAGACCTCACAGGGGACCTCACGATCAAATACAGGTCCGCACTGAAATACTTGTCGGGAGGATACTTTATAAAACAAGGTAAAAAAAATTTTTTTATTTTTTTTTATTTTTACACACATATTTTGGTTTATCTTCCTTCTACAATCATTATCTGAAAATTAACTTCAAAGTCACCCTGTATATATATATAAATCTGTTCGCCCACAATACAATGCGAGGAACACCCATGTAAAATTTACATACAAAGTGAGGACCGCGACAGATCCTATGTATCGTGTTCCCCAATCCCTAATTATTAAGAAAACGTGAAAACAGGAGGTCTTCAGTTTTTACCCAGCACGTTAAAATTTGTATATTGTACTTGGGCATGCCGCCGCACG